AAGAATACTTTATTGGTCATGTGTGATTGGACACACAAGGAATTTGTTTTGGTGTAAATACTCTCAGTATACATAAAGAAAAGGTACATTTGTTAAGAATCAAGAATCTTAATGTACAACACTTAATGATAGTCATAGGGTACAATCAACAATCAAATCATACTAGGAAACAGTCAATATAAATGATAAGGATACAAGCAACAAAGTTACAGTCCTACAATCACAAGTGGGAGGGGGTGGGTGATAAGGAGTGATGAGAAGGTTAACAATAATAGTAGTGTACACTTTGTAAATAGTTGAACAGTGTTGAGGTAATTATTTGTTTAGAAGAGAAGAGAAGACTAAAGTAGACAACACTAGACTAGAACATAGGATAGGATAGGGTAGGATAGGATAGGATAGGATACATACAACGAATTTGTCTCCAATGCATAAGCTTTCAATGTAGATAAAAACAACAAAGTAATATAAACATAAGATACCAATAGGAGAAGGTAGTAGAAAAGGTGAGAAAGATCATAGTAATACATCTCTACTACATGGGTAAATATAGAGCAGAATTTAAGGATTAGATTTAGCAGAGGGATGACACGAGGGGGGGGGAATCTTTGTGTCTAGCTATCTTGGCATGTAATGTCCTATACTGGCTTCCTAGGGGGAGGAATCAGAAAAGTTTATGTCCAGGATGTGAAGAGTCTATAGATACAATATTTGATTTTATTATAGTCTAAATAACACCAGATTTATAATTCCAGATCTTTGAAGACATCTACCTTAATAGAAGAAAGATCATAAAAAATATTCTCGACTATGCCGATGTATTCTTTTTCTGTATCTTTTTCTTGGAGATGCTTCTCAAATGGGTGGCCTATGGCTTTAGGAAATATTTTACTAATGGCTGGTGTATTCTTGATTTCTTTATTGTATGTGTAAGTACCTTGTATTTTCTTGTTATGTGCATTGGTGCAATGTGGAAATAGGCAAAATGGTTTCTCACATAGAGAGCCTGATAAAAACCATTCTCATTTTCTGTATCTAACAAAGTAAAGTTCAGTGTAGAGAAAAGTAAGGTGTTATACTTAGCCACCAAAAATAAATATACAAGTATAGATTAGGAGAATCTTGGCTCAAGAACAGTAACTGTGAGAGGGATCTTGGAGTCCTAGTAGACAATCACTTACAAATGAGCCAGCAGTATGCGTCAGCAGCCAAAAAAGCCAACAGTCCTCCCTCATAAACAGAGGGATAGAATCAAGATCACATGAAATATTAGTCCTGCTTTATAAGGCTTTGATAAGGCCAGACTTGGAATACTGCATCCAGTTTTGGTCGCCATGATGTAAAAAAGATGTTGAGACTCTAGAAAAAGTGCCAAGAAAAGCAATAAAGATGATTAGGGGCCTTGATGCTAAAACTTATGAAGAATGGCTGCATGAATTGGGTGTGTCTAGTCTAGTAAAAAGAATGGCTAGGGATGACATGACAGCAGTGTTCCAATATTTGAGGGGCTGCCACAAATAATAGGGGGTCAACCAGGGGTGGGATTCTACCAGTTTGCACCTATTCGCCAGAACCGGTTGATAACATTCTAAGCAGTTTGGAGAACCGGTTGTTGGAAAAAATTACTGGCCTAATCCTGTAAGGAAGGCAGGAAGGAAACATTCTGGTGTTGCTTATAGAAACTGTCTCTCCATTAACCCTTACTACATTCTTGGCAGAACTAGACTTCCTGTCTCTGGAACTTCTCTGGAGTTTTTTTCCCCTCCTTTGCTGGTACTTTGCTTGTGTGGAGTGGCCATTCAAAGTTATAATGGCACTGAAAAAGGTGACTTATGACCATTTTTCACACTTACGACTGTTGCAGCATCCCCACAGTCATGAGAGGCCAGGGGAGGAGATGCGTGCCTCGATGCGAGTGATGTTGAGTTGGCCACATCCAGCCAATAATATGACCACCAAGCCATGTCCACCCAGTCACATGACCACCAAGCCACACCTACCACCTAAGCCACGCCCACAGAACCGGTTGTTAAAAAATTTGAATCCCACCCCTGGGGTCAACTTATTTTCCAAAGCGCCAGAAAGCAAGACAAGAAGCAACAGATGGAAACTAATCAAGGGGAAAAGCCGCCTAAAACTAAGGAGAAATTTCCTAACAGTGAGAATAATCAACCAGTGGAACAGCTTGCCTTTAAAAGTTGTTGGTGCTCCATCACTGGAGGCTTTTGAAAAGAGACTGTACAACCATCTTTCTGAAATGGTATATCCTGTTGGACTAGAAGACGTCCAAGATCCCTTCCAATTCCGATGTTCTATGATTCAGACAATGGATGGAGAGAACAAATAAGTGTGGGTGAGGGAGAGGAAACTATATCTCAGGGCTTTCAACTGATATTTGTTAAACTTCTTAGCATGGTTTTTCCTGGAAGCAAACTAGAGTTACAAGGTTGCCTTTTGCAGTTCAGTTGTACTTTTCCTGTTTTCACAGGTATCTTTGCCTATAGCAAGAGGTACATCAAGGAGAAAATGTGATAGCAATATCTCCACGAAATCTCTAAGAACATTGAGGGCCCTTAGACCTCTTCGAGCACTGTCTAGATTTAAAGGAATAAAGGTATTAAATCTTCCTTCCTTCCTTCCTTCCTTCCTTCCTTCCTTCCTTCCTTCCTTCCTTACTTCCTTCCTTCCTTCCTTCCTTCCTTCCTTCCTTCCTTCCTTCCTTCTCTCCACCCTCCCTCCCTCCTTCCCCCAAAGATTATGTTCCACATACTGTAATCTTTAGGAACTGGGTTTTGTTTTGTTTTATTTCAAAGGAATAGCATTGTTTCAGCCATGGCTCCTTCTCTTTCTCTTTTGAGGATTGCAGGAATATTGGTGAACACTTAGGATTCTAAGGAAGAGTCCAATGAAAAATATCCGCTGCCGTCCTAGTCAAATTCAGCCATTTATTTGAATAATGCTGCTTTACCTAACACGCAACACTTTCATATTAGGAATTTATTATTCAAAATACTGCCTGGTAAGAGCGGGCGAAATCATCCTCTGGATACATTTTTTTGTTTTTGTTCTTTGGTCCATCCACTTTTCTCCCAGATTCTCCTTCATTTTTAATGAAGGAAAACACTTTGAACCTTCAGCTGATCTAGAATTCACGGGCAGGCACGGCGAAGCTTGGGATGGACCAAGGTGAGGCGCTCGGATCTTGTAGGGAGGCTGTACTACAGGACAATGTTTCTCAACCTCCTTTGTTCCTACTACAAGTGGTCCTCGAATGGTTACAATAGTTCATTTAGTGACTGTTCAGAATTACAACGGGACTGAAAAAAGTGACTTATGACCATTTTTCACACTCATGACCTCGTCCCCCAATGGTCACTTGATCACAATTCGGACGTTGGCAACTGACTCATATTTATGACGGTTGCAATGTCCTGGGGTCATGTGATCCCTTTTTGCGACCTTCTGACAAAGTCAAATGGGGGAAGTGAGATCTACTTTTCAACTGTGTTACTGATTTAACAACTTGCACTGAACAAATGTGACCAGAAAAGACATAAAAGGGGACAAAACGTACTCAAAAAATTTTTTTCGCTTAGCAACATAAATTCTGGGCTCAATCTGGGGACGGCCTGTCCTATTTGTTCTTGCGACAGGAATTAATGGTTTATCTCCATTTTTTCTTTCTTTCTTTCTTTAAGGTTGTTGTGAATGCTCTGGCTGGCGCTATCCCTTCCATTGGAAACGTGCTTCTTGTCTGCATTGTACTTTGGCTGCCATTTAACATCTTAGGAGTGCAATTGTTTGGAGGGAAGTTTTCATGTTTGAACGTTGAAAATAAGAAAAGTTGTAATAATAGGGCTATCAACTTTGATCATGTTGGGAACGGGTACCTAGCTCTCCTTCAAGTGGTATGTTTAATTAGATGGATCTTAAATATATGTCTCTGAAATAATAGAAAATACAGTGTTTGTAGCTCGGGTTTTAGATTTTGGCCGTGGTTTGTTCTCCAAGCTTGTTTCAATTTAGTTTCTGAATGTTTTGTTACCAGACTAGCTAACATCATCATGCTCAGAATTTTCTTGTCCTGTTCTCTTTAGCTTACAAATATCTTGTGTGCCAGTGTGGTCAGTTGGTCGTTTGGTTGATTATTCATTTGGAGCTATATTTAATATAGACATTAAAAATCTTTTGTACAGCACAATATGCTATTAATAGCAGACTGTTAAGAGTTGATTTGTGGGGAAATTTGTTTAGGGAGAAAAAGCTATGAGGAGAGCTTAAAAAATCAGTGCTGGGAAAAAGGGGAAAAAGACAATTGAAATGCCTCTGTGTTATTTGGACAAAGTCAAACGCAATCCTTTTTGTTTACACTGCAGAGTAGAACAGTGAGTTGATTATGGTTAGTAACAGCACGATGGCTTCTCTAGTTATCTAAACCCAGTTTGTACTGGGCATTTCATAAAGCGGAGGAAAAAAAATCTTGTAGGTATATTATAAATAAAATTAATAATAGTTATAATTATATTTCCTCTAACTTTAGAAGTTAGGGAAAATCATAGACAACATTACCTGGAGTTGAATCTTGCTGCCTTGAGCAAAAAATGGTCATCTGTTTTTTTCTTTTACATATCAGGCAAAGCATGATTCTCTTTTAATTATTCCTTTGTCAACCGGGTAGGATGGGAGAACTAAATCTATGCTTCTATTTCTATCCTATTCTGGACATCAAACGAGGCAGCTGGATCAAAGGAAATCAATACTGTCCTCCCTTTTTAATTTTCTATAATGTTTTCATTTCAAATTCAAATCCTCTAGCCCAGTTGTAATATTTGAAGTGAATAAGACAAGAAAATTAGATGCTTAAAGTGACAGCATAATAAATAATGTGTGGGAATAACAATAAAATAAAAATACAGTAAAGTGTGGGAAAGGTAATTCCATTATTTTACATTTCTGTATTTTGTCCAAGAAAATGGAATGCTTGTTATCTGCACCTAATAAGGATTTTATATATTTCTGAAGAAAAGGAAGCAAATGAATGTTGTTTTAAGAACAGAAGAGGTCCTGTAGTGGCAGAATGGGGAAAGGCTGCAATGATTTTGAGAACACAGTAAGGTCTGCCTCTATCAGACAAATCAAGGAGGAAAAGTATAGAAAAGTTTAATGATTTGGCTTAATAATATCTCCATTTGTTTTCTTGCAGGCAACATTTAAAGGCTGGATGGACATTATGTATGCTGCAGTAGATTCAGCTAATGAAGTAAGCTGTAAAAAAGAAGTTGCAATGTTTCTCTTTTTTTCAGATATCTTCCTGTTCAATTAGCAATCTTGCACTATTGTCCCAAAAACTGTAGTTTTCCAGCTTGAGCATCAGAGAAGCTGAGGCAACATTAGCAGATCTTAAATGCTGGTCAATATTGTGGCTAAAAGAACAGTAAAGAATTGACATTAATCAGCTGACATTGTTTAGATACAGGTTTGGGATTAAATACTAAAAAATAAGAATATTCAAATTCACTTCCAAATTTAGGAAATGCTAATCTGGCTGTAATATTTTTATGATATGTAGAAAGCTCATCAGTGACATCAGTGCAAAGAAAAAAATTAAAATATCTAGGTTCATGCTTAATATTAAACCAGGATTTTTTTAAAAAACCTCATATTTTGTTAAAGTATAATGTCGGGTCACATCTTGATAAGATATTATGGGTCAGATCAGATTAAATTAACAAGAAAGACTCCATGTTATAGCTTAGCACGAAGTATGAACCCAGCCATTCTTTGCCACAGCCACTCCTGCAGCTCATGGATAAGATAGGAAAGTGGAATGGGGATGTGGGAGCTCCACCACTGGACGTTTTTAGGAAGGGATTAGACAGCTATTTATCTGGAATGGTACAAGGTCTTCTGCTTGAGAAGGAAGTTGGACTAAAAGACTTCTAAGTTCCCTTCCAACTCTATTGTTCTGTTATTCAGATTTCCAAATTCCCTGCTAGGAACTCTGTGAAACAATTGTTTTCATGGCTTCTGTTGGATATTTGGCTAGTTGGTCATTTGTGATGGTAATGATAACCCAATTACTCTGTCCTAGTTGGAGTCTAAGTGCCATTGGGTTCTAGATCAAGCAGGAGCTAAAAATAAATTTAGATGTAAAACAAAGAAAGGTTCTGTTCTGAAACAAGGGACGGCAAAATCAAGTGTTGGAAGAAATTTTCTGAGTTCATTCCCAGCTGGAACACACCACAGACACTGAGAAGAAATGGAAGCAGAAGCCAGCTGCCAGAAAGTGGAATTCTTTTAATGTAGGAAAGCAAGAGGCAAAAAATGACACAGCTGGAGCGTTCTTGGCTTGCAAGCAGCTTGGAAGTATAAATGTGAACCTTTTATGCTTAATTCCCCTTTGAAGCTCCTGCAGCTTGATGGGTTTTGATGTGTTTCTGATTACCCTGGGTTCTGTGTTTTACTAGGTTAATCTTGGTCCCAGGACTTTTGTTCTTCCAGTCCTTGGGGTTTCAGGGGCAGGGAAAAAAAGGAAGTTTTGGGTTACCTTGGAGAGTTTATTTTTAGCCTGATTCCCATTATCTTAATGGCTCTACTTAAGTATTTCTGTGGTCAGCTGTTGTTACTTTTGTAACAGCCATTAGCAGGGCTATTCTGAGTTTTCCTTTCAGCTGGTGATTCTTGGTTTTCTTAAAGGGGGGAGGGCTTGAGTCTCTTGGCACTGTTTTCTGAGGCTTCTGGTGCTGTGAGGTTTCTGGCACTGTCCTTTTGGGGTGTACTTCCCACACAAGCAAAGCAAATATTAAGTTTTATAAGGCCAAGCAGAAAAAATTAGGCCAGTTCTATGCATTATGGGAAGTTCAAAGAATTTTAAGAGGCTTGAATGTTGACTCAGCAGCCATCAAAGATTAAACATTGCACTGGAGCTTAATTCCACCAGAGCAGCTAGCCTGTTTCCTGTTAAATCAAGCATCTTGAATTAAAAAAAGAGTAAATAGCTTATTGACTTTTCAATAATTTTACTGAGGCTTTTGAGTCAGGAAGTGTAGATGTCCTTAGGCCCCGGGAAACACAACCTGAACAGTATCATTTTGCATTAGCTTCCCAGGCCAGGGAAGATGTCATTTCTGAAAGCAATTCTTTTGCAATGCTCCTCTAGAGAGCAATTCGTGTGAGGGGTCCTTGTACTCTCCGAGCTTGATTGTTTTGAAGATGTTTCATGATCCAAACTAGGCAACATCATCAGTGCTAGTCGTTTTGCATATCCTGAAGGAGAAAAGTTGAAATCCAGAAGAAGGATATTGATCATCTGTATTATTATTATTATATTAATTATGTTATTAGATTAACATCAGATTTAAATTAACCTGTTTTTCTTTTACCTACTTATATATATTTGATCTTATTTCAGAATTCCACCCAGCCATGTTTTGAAAACAACGTATATGCATACATTTACTTTGTGGTTTTTATTATATTTGGATCCTTCTTCATGCTGAACCTCTTCATTGGTGTGGTTATTGATAATTTTAACCAGCAAAGAAAAAAGATAAGTATCTAACATAAATAGACAACCAAGGCTCATGAAGGCAAACAGTTACAAACTCTTTCAAGGGTATGCAATGGCAGCGTGTCAGTGTGGTGTGTTTTATGGAAGACGTAGGAAATATGGCAGCTGAATATAGTCCTGGGAAAGATTCTTATAGAAAGAGAATAATCCCCAACAGCTAATGCACCTTGCTCTCATTTTATATACAGTGGATTTACAACCACAGTTAAGCCCAAAACTTCTGTTGCCAAGTTACATATTTGTTATGTGAGTTTTGACTCGTTTTATGAGTTTTCTTGCTAAATTGCTAAGTGGATCACCGCAGTTAATAACACTGTTGTTAAGTGAATCTGGCTTCCCCACTGACTTTGCTTGTCAGAAAGTCACAAAAGGGGATTACGTGACACCCCCCCAGGCACACTGCGACCGTCATAAATAGGAACCAGCTGCCAAGCATCTGAATTTGGATCATGGGGCTGTCTAAGTCATTTTTTTTTTCAGTGCCTTTGTAACTTTGAATGGTTGCTAAATGAACTGGTGTAAGTCAAGGACTACCTGTATTGCCTTACCACTGTACAATCTTAATTGGAAAGTCTGCGGAAAGTCAGGCTGGGTTAAGTTTTGAGGCACCAGACTATTAGAACTGCCTCAAAGAAGAGGATCGCCTTAATTTCCGTAGATTGTGCAAGGAAAACTTTCTGTTCTTTTAGTGATTACTTCCTTAACTCGCGGAGCCTGTAGGTGTCCAGAGATTCTCTTGGATTGGTTTCTTAGTAACCACCATCAACGGTTCACTTACTGACAGCGCTATCTTTAGTAGTTTCGGTAGCACATTTATTCTCTAATCTTTTAGGCCATACAGTCAATCAGATGACATGTCCTAGAAAATCCAAACAGAAGACATATTTTAGTTTAGACAGTGTCTCTGTTTCATTAGAGTCACAAAGTAAATTAAGCAACTCCAAGCAACAGAAGTAACAAAAGTGACTACAAGTCACTTTGACTTCTAGAAACAAAAAAGCAATAAAAATGACTTTATGAAGTGCACAAAGAGATTGTGTGAAAAAACGTATTTCATTTAAAGAACCACAAAGTTCTATTCTTATCATATCACAATTATGAATAACATTGTAGAACTCTAGGATAATTGTACCCAAATTCAGGAACTTTTTCCAGTTAAATTAAAGAGTATATTTTAGAAGATGATGTATCCATCCATCTTTAACATCGAGTTAATAAATATTCAAGTTGTAAAGAGCTTTGTCTGTTGAAATTCTATTTGTTGGTACTAGCTGTTTAGTTGACTTTGGACAATTCTTGTCTTTTGAACAGAGATAAATAGATGCAGATAAAAATATGTTTTAGCAATTTAATAGCAATGTTATTATTCTCTTATACCTAGGTGGAGAACTCATCTTTTTGTCAGAGGATCAAAAGAAATATTATAATGCACTAAAAAAACTTGGTACCAAGAAACCACATAAGACTATTCCACGACCTCTGGTAAGGCCCTTGCAAACATCAATGCATTCGCTTTATTACTAACTTGGAAAGACTTTTCAGAAATTTTAGTAAAACATTTTTTTCCCTGCATGAGCTGTGGTGGCACAGTGGTTAGAATGCAGTATTGCAAGCTAACTCTACCGATTGTCAGGAGTTCGATCCTGACCAGTTCAAGGTTGACTCAGACTTCCATCTTTCCCAGGTGAGTAAAATGAGGACCCAGTTTGTTGGGGGCAAGAGGCTGACTTGGTAAACCGCTTAGAAAGGCCTGCAAAACACTGTGAAGCAATATGTAAGTCTAAGTGCTATTGCTATGATTCAATATGTTACAAATAGTACAGGAGTTAAGACCATAATAAAACCTGCATGTCATAATTAGATTAGAATTAGAATTCTTTATTTGCCAAGTGTGATTGGGCACACAAGAATTTGTCTTTGTGCAAATGCTCTCAGTGTACATAAAAGAAAAGATACATTCATCAAGAATCATAAGGTGCAACACTTAATAATAGTCAGAGGATACAATAAGCAATCAAATTATACTAGGAAACAGTAAGTAAAAATTGTAAGGATACAGGCGACAAAGTTACAGTCATGCAGTCACAAGTGGGAGGGGATGGGTGATAAGGAGTGATGAGAAGATTAATAGTAATAGTAATGCAGACTTCGTAAATAGTTGGACAGAGTTGAGGGAATTATTTGTTTAGCAGAGTGATGGCTTTCAGGGGAAAAACTGACCTTGTGTCCAGTTGTTCTGGTGTGCAGTGCTCTACAGCGTCGTTTTGAAGGTAGGAGTTGAAACAGTTTATGTCCGGGATGTGAATATTTTTACAGCTCTCTTTTTGTTAAGGTTATAACTCATGACTAACCCAAATTTACGATCTTTCTTTGGTGATCATTAAGCAAATGGAGCAATTGTAAAGTCGCTACCATAGACATTAAGTGAACATTGCAGTCATTAAATGAACACAGTGGTCATTAAGTGATCCCATGGTTTGCTATGGGGCAGTTTTGCTGAAACAGCAATAGCACTTAGACTTATATACTGCTTCACAGTGCTTCACAGCCAGAGGTGGGTATTCAGCAGATTCTGACCAGTTCTGGAGAACCAGTAGCGGAAATTTTGAGTAGTTCAGAGAACCAGAAAATCCCACCTCTGACTGGAGAATTTACAGTATCCTCCCCCTGCCATGCCCACCAAGCCACACCCACAAAACCGGTAGTAAATTTTTTTGAATCCCACCACTGTTCACAGCCCTCTCTAAGCAGTTTACAGAGTCAGCCTGTTGCCCCCAACAATCTGGGTCCTCATTTTACCCCACCTCAGAAAGATGGAAGGCTGAGTCAACCTTGAGCCTGATGAAATCCGAATTGCCAAACTGGTGGCAGCCGGTTCAGCAGAAGTAGCCTGCAGTATTGCATTCTAACCACTGGGCCACCGAAAACTGAAAATAAATGTCAGTTGTCGGCCAAAGGACCAAATGTAATTGTAAAATTCTATGGAAATTCTAAGTCATCCAGGTCACGGTTGGTCAAGTGCTTTTCCTTTCAGGAGGCAACTGGACTTCTGGTTTTTCTTTGAAGACGTTTCGCTTCTCATCCAAGAAGCTTCTTCAGCTGCGACCGGATGGTGGGGAATGGACAATTCTATAAAAGGATGCAAATGACCAGCTGCCTGCAAGAAGTATAAATCCTCCCATTCCCCACCATTCAGTCAGAACTGAAGAAGCTTCTTGGAGGAGAAGCAAAACGTCTTCAAAGAAAAACCAGAAAGTTCAGTTGCCTCCTGAAAAAAGTATCTGTGGGATCGTAAAGAGTTGAAAATCAGGCCAATTGCCAAGCATCCAAATGACTGTGGAAAAGTCAACCATCAGGATTGGAGTTGTAAATACCTGTCGATGCATCAGACCTTCAAACAATCGCTAAATGACCAGCTGACTTCTAGTTGTATTCTTATAAAACTTAAGTAAAAGTAACAACATTTTGAAAGACTGCGCCAAAGTCAGTTCAGATTAATTTGCAATAAATCTGCCCTCTTGAATCACAGGGAAAATGCTGAGGTCACTGCCAACCAATCCACATTCCTTACAGCTGGTTAATAAGAAAGTACAAAAATGTCCTCGCTGTCTGGAAATTTCTCCTTAGTTCTAGGCTGGTTCTCTCCTTGATTAGTTTCCATCCATTGCTTCTTGCCCTGCCTTCAGAGGCTTTCAGTTAAGGAGGTGCTTCCCAAACTGGAGTAAATTACCCCAAATAGGATAAAAGTAGTTTTTCTTTGGCTACTGTAAACCCATTTTTTTCCCCGTTCCCTTAATATTTTACCTAAATTGCCTAAAAAGGTGTTTCCAATAAGCAATTTTCAGTAATGAAAGAAAAATTTTGGGAAGCACTGAGCTATGATTATTTGTTCCCCGGAACTGCTGTGAATGCTATAGAAAAAAAAAAACAAACCTTCTTTTCCTTATTACCTGCAAAAAGGAAATAAAATACATCACAACTGCCTCTCAGGCTAGTCCTTGGCAGCCAGGCAGGAAGGAGGCAACCAAATGTCTTGAACTCGACCAGCCAAATCTCACGGGCAGTTTCCTCATAGAGGAACCGTAAAGAAACTTAATTCACTTGAGGCAGCAGCACCACCAATAGAAGCATCTCCTTGAAGCCTTTTGGGACTTCCTCAGGTACAGCCCTTTCTGTCTTCCTGGTTCTGTTAGGTTTATTAGTGCCTTCCAGATTTGGATAAATAATTATCAAAGAACTTGGTGTAACCATTTGAACTATTTCGGAATCTTGGCACTAACATTTTCCTCCCTCCCTCTCTTTCTCCCTCCCTCCCTCCCTTCTTTCCCGCTTCTCCTTCCCTCTCTCCTTCTCCCTCCCTCCCTCCCTTCCTTCCCGCTTCTCCTTCCTTCTCTCCTTTTCCTCCCTCCCTCTCTTTTTCCTGTCCCTCCTTTTCACCCCTCTCTCCCTCCCCACTTCTCTTTTCCTTCCTTTCTCTCTCTCTTCCTCCCTCCCTCTCTTTTCCTGTCCCTTTTTTCCTCCCCTTTTCCTCCCTCCCTCTTTTCTTTCCTCCCTTCCTCTCTTTTCC